GTTTTTCGTTATCTTTCTGGTCTTGGACTTCACGCTTAGAACCGGGATTACCTCCACCTCGGTAAAGATTGCTACCACTACTTGAACCTCTTTGTGGTTCGCGTTTTTCGTTATCTTTCTGGTCTTGGACTTCACGCTTAGAACCGGGATTACCTCCACCTCGGTAAAGATTGCTACCATCACTTGAACCTCTTTGTGGTTCGCGTTTTTCGTTATCTTTCTGGTCTTGGACTTCACGCTTAGAGCCGGGATTACCTCCACCTCGGTAAAGATTGCTACCACTACTTGAACCTCTTTGTGGTTCGCGTTTTTCATAATTAGGGTCCTGATCTATCTGAACATCACGCTTGAATTTATTACTCTGGGTCCGATAATAGGGAGGAGGCACAAGAGGAAGCCTGGATACTGCGCGTTTATCAATGGTTAACGCTGATGCTTGGTTGGAAAAAACCAATCCTGAGGATAAAACAGTGCTCAAGAGAAAAAGGTATGTGAACTTCATTTTAAATAAATCACTATGTATTAATAGACTTATAGACTAATTCGTTAAAGGGATAATAGGATGTTAATGGGGTTAATGAGGTTAATGGGATAATAGGATGTTAATGGTGTTAAATGAGAGTAAAAGGATTGGGCGAAAAGCTTGAACAGGAGAAAACCGAAGGAGTATGAATGGATGGGGCGAAGGCTCTTTTATAATGATTTTCTGAAGTTCGATAAAGAGAAGCATGATATTTTGAAGTAAGAAAATCAATGCAATGTAATAACATAATCTGTAATCCGATAACGAGGTTGAGCACAATCTCTTTGCTTTGTGAAAATGCAGTGCATTTTACAAAAATTTAATTATATCTTAACTGAATTCGAGAGTTGAATGGTTTATCCTAAATTGTTAAATTGTCGAAAATTCTTAAATTGGTAATTAAAAAGTCCATTTTCAGAGATTTAGAAATAAGACAATGAGCACAAACAATATTAATACGTTATGATCAGTTACATAAAGAGACTATAAGTTAACATTAATTCTCTTGGAAAAGCAAGACCTTTGTATTGTTTTAATCCCCTATTGCATCAAATGATTAAATGCATTATCCTGTAGAACAAAACAGGAAATATTTTTTAGTTAACAGAAATTTACCAATTACGATCGTAACGAAGAATTTTCGCCAAGTATTAATATATCTCTTTCAAACCCAAAAATTAGAAATCTTAATCCAATATTCTTTGTGTAGTTTAAGTTTTGACTGTATATGTACATGATTTACGAATTGTAAAGACCAAACTTGCAAAATAAATGCTCAGAAAGTGTAAAAATATTAGCAGTCGTACAAATATCTATGCACTTAAAAAATATGATTATCACTAGGTTACTCAAATGATCCATTATTTGCCAAAAATGAAAGATATAAAAATGTGATGCCATTTATTGTCATTGCAAAAATATATTTGATGATCACGAAAGATAATTTACAAATTTTGATTCGTTTTTTGCCTGCGGCCTACAATCTGTTCTACTTTGCAAAATATATTATGATATTATCACCTTTCTTGATAGAAATTAAAGAATTAAAATTCGTAGGCTTTGTTTTACTATAAGAGAATCCGCCTACAATTAATATATGCTAGACAATTTAAATTAATCATTACATGCACATGCATAATCCAAAATCGTATAATAATACAGTCTAATATACATAACTTTTAATTTCGATTGATATATATAGAATATCAATTATTTGTGTAATTATATTATATTAATTAATTTTGACCGAAATTTGACTTATTCGTACGATAAAAAAAAAAAAAATAGCAATAATGCTACTAGCAATCTATAGTAAAGGAAGGTATTGGTGTCAAATTTGTGTAAACAAAATTATCTATTGATGAATTTATATAGAAAGTTAAATGTTATACTTAATAATTCTCAGTAATTCTGTGATTACTGTTGAGACGGAATCAGAATTGAAAAATTAATTATTCAGATACAGTAGATTCATCTGAGTAATTAACCTGCGATTAAAATTTTAATTCCAGCACATAAATATTTTACCTTCTAATCTATAATTCACATTAACTTTATGTCTTATTTCTTTTCAGTATGCTCTTATAATCGTATCCAACATTATATTTTACAGTTTTTTTAACTTCAATTTTAGTTACTACATCACGAAATTGTTTTATATAAAATTATGTAGAATTTTTATGTATAATTATGTAACCAAAGTAAATTTACATAACTATTTACATAAGGTCTACTGTATACGTAGAATACAAAGAATTTTTAACTTAAATATTAAAGCTAGAATTAGATTTTAAAGCTTAAATTAGGGTTTGGAGAATTTTTTCTAGCGTGCTGAACATTTTTACTTAGTACAGTAGTATATTGAACATTAATTACATAGATTTTACATTTATATAAATAATAAATTATATAAAAATTACATAGTTTATATCTGATATATAAAAATTCTTATTACATAAGTCTGCATTAGGTTTGTAGACCTATATCAATATTTTATATAATATTATATAACTTTATAAAGCTACATAAAACAAATTGCCGATGTAAGTGCAAATATCTCATAATCGCTCAGCAGACATTTGTTATTTTACTGCGTATATAAAATTAATGTAATGTTATAAATTTATTAAAGATATAAAGCGTTTTAATATATAAATTATGTAGGTTTATTAATTATATAAAGTTCTTAGCTGTTAATAAAAGATTAAAATTTCAAATGAAAAATCTAAAACCTGATTATGAATAGTTTGCTCTTTCACTTCGCTCTTCTTTCTCTCTTCGCTTTTTACTTCCATCCTTCCCCCTCTCTTCGTCCCACACTCTCTTCCTCGCTCACTCGCTCACTCCATCACTCCCTCTTTCCTTCCCTCCTTCTCTTTCCCGCTCTCAGTTATTAATCGATTAATTTTGATCGATTACTATCGCTGGTGGTCGATTTATTGTAGTTTGCATAATTTTGTGACCCTATGATTAATTTTTTATGATTAAATGATTGTGGTTGCAATCGATAAAGCCAGCCAATTTATTATAAATCTGAGCTTGACACAAACTCAGATTCACGATAATTTGGCTGGCTGGCTTTGGTGATCATGATTGCAATCACAATCATTTAATCATAATCGATATATTTAAAAATCGATTATAACCGATTTAAAGTTAATCGATTATAACCGATTAGTGCTGATTATAATTGATAAAAATATTTATCAAATTTATAGCGCTTTGCAAAAAGATGTGAACATGTGATTTCAGTGATGAGATTCACTAAGATTCCAGATTGTCTGTTACTTTATATTTTCGATTGGTTACGTTTATATTTCTTTGAAGTTTAATTCTTAAAATCTCAAAAAATCTATAAAATCTCCGATTCTCACATGAAAAATGATCTGCAGTGTTTGCAAAGCGCAATAATTGACGGTGGTGATAATAATTGAATTTTAATCGATTATTAGGTTTTAAAATTTTCCGATGTTCAGTTCTACCGATCCTGTTAAACTATCAATCAATTTTATCCTCTTTGTTATAACGATAAAACATAATTGTAATAAATAAAACAATTCATTAGAATTTATTCGTTTATTTATCGCTATTTTCGAAATGGTTGAGAATGGCAAGATTTACAAAAAAAAAATTTTTTTTATATGAATACCTGAAAACCCGATTAGTTTAGAACATTGAAACAATTATGCGAGTGTATATGTAAATCGGAATCGATTATAGATCAGTGTTCTAAACTAATCGGGTTTTCGGTTTTCGCATAAAAAAATTTTTTTTTATAAATCCCGCTATTTTCGACTGTTTCGAAAACAGCGATAATTGCCTAGGTCAAGGCAATTTTTTCCCGGATAACAGCTCTAGACCAGGATCGTAAATTTACGGTAATTTATAAATTTTTGAGTAAGTTACCAAAATGGTAAGTATCGGTAAGTAACAGAGATCTTAAAAAAAATAAGTCAAACGATCCTTTGTATGCAATATACTGTATATAACATTCGATACTAATATTTTAATAGAATTCCGAAGGAAAAAAGAGAGAGATATATATATATAGTGTTGTGCACCACCATGGAGGTAAAAAAGGGGAAATGTCTATTTAGGCCCAAGCATATTGTGGAGCGTCAGCTAAATAAGCAAAGGTTGGCGGAGGCGCACAATCTGAAAGATACCTTAATTTTATTCTTATATATATATATATATTTATATTTAAAAAAAGTCAAACGATCCTTTGTATGCGATCTATATAACATTCGAGATACTAAAACATTGATCGGATGATTTCCGACTACGAATAGTAATAAAAAATTTTCGAAAGCAGCGATAATAGATTCAGAAAAAAAACAACTAAATAGTGTTGCGCACCATTATTTGTTTGAAAGGTGGTAAAAAAAAGGAGAAATGTCTCCAAATAAATAAAGGTTGGCCTAACTAAAGAAGGAGGCGCACAACCTGAAATTTACTATTCTGCGTTTTTTGATACGTGTCATAGTCTAATCGGTTCTACAGTATGAAGGTGAATCAGTAGAAATGCACCATATTTTTTCTATGTAAATTTTTTTTAAAACTTTAAACAAAAATAACAACTAAAACTCGATCAAATTTAATATAAATTTACTAAAATATCGATATGATTAAATTTGCTAAATTATATTTGTTTATAAATTAAAAAAAACTTCACTAAAAAAGATATGGTGCGTTTCTATTGACTCCCCCCATATATCGTATTAGTTTAATTGGTTCTTATAAAAGAGCCAAAATTATTTATTAAACACGTACTTAAGTCGCAACGGCGAAATGTCTACACAAAATAAAAAATAAAAGGTATCGTTAGCGAGTTTTTGTATTGAAAAATCAATGGTTTGAAAATTTTAAGAAAAAACTACCGTGTTTTATGGCTTCTAAATTAAGTAGCTGCCAAAAGTTATTATAATGGCACATCAAATTTTATTTTTCTTATCAACCTGATAACGCGCTCTGTAAATAGCTTCAAAAGTTAGGTTTCTTCTCAAACCTCCAAAAATCTTTTAAGCCCAAAAATTATGTTTCCTTCTCAGCCTCTAGAAATTTTTAATAACGCGTAAATAAAAACTCGTAACTCTAACTCTGAATAAGCACATTGGATTTATAGATCAAATTACCAGATTTATGAAGAAATTGAGCAACAAATTGTACAGCATATATCATAAAATTGATTATCGAGATTCTAGATTGTACAGTTCATAAATGTTTATTAACCAATGAAATCGAGTTTAGTTTTTTTTATCTCATCTTCTGTTGAAACATTTCTAGAATTTGAAGTCACTAATGCTTTCTATTTTTCGAACCTTTATCTCACCGCACGCGTATGTTTTCAATTTAAAATACTTCATGAGTCTCTTATTAATTAAATTCTTGACGAGTTCCGTAACATTAGCATGCCGCGGTCGCTGCTAGCTAATTCACGAAAGGTAAATAAAAAAATTTTTTTTTTTTATCTCAATCATACTATTATTTTAACTATGTAAAGTCATTTATCTTCTCACGTTATCGAAAGCTTTCTTCACATGCACCTAATATTGCTTTGTCAAGCTTGTACAAATCACGAAAAGCAGTCATTTCTTTAAAACCCATCGGACTATTATACAATTCGTCTTTCGACACCACGCAAAAAAGGCGCCTAACAACTATAGAGCCAGCAAGTAGTGATGCTATAAGGGAGACAGTTCTGAAGATTGGTGACTTAAAAGCGATGGGTTTAATACATAATACCCCTGTTGGCGCTGTGGAAGCACTTCTTGAGGCTGTTCACGTTTATACCGGCTTACCATGGTGGGGTACAATAGTTTTTACAACATTTGTGATGCGTATACTTTTGTTACCTCTTCTTGTGAATTCACAACGAAACACGGTCAAGTTAATAACTTTACAACCAAAGATAGAGAAATTGATGGAAGACTTTAAAAAGGCAAAAAATAGTGGTGATAATAGCTTGATGATGCGTAAGCATCAACAAGTAAGAGATTTTTATGCTGAAAATAAAATTAGCCCATGGAAAAATTTATACCTTATTGCTTTACAAACGCCGGTGATGATCAGCTTTTTCATTGCTGTAAAAAAAATGGCAGAATTTCCTGTGCCAGGCTTTGAACATGGTGGCGCATTATGGTTTCAGAATTTAACCGTTCCGGATCCATATTATATTTTACCTTTCTTAATGTCAGCAACTTTCATAGCAATGATGGAGGTATTAGCATTAACAGTTTTATCAAAGTTAAGAGTAATTAGAATTTGTTAGATATAAATGCTTTTATTTGGTCTAGACAAGCGATGCCTCTCGTATCAATACTCCAAGCGCACAGACAATGAAATGGGCCTTTCGTGGTGTAACTGTAATATCTATACCTGTTGCAATGTCTTTATCTTCAGTAGGTTGAGAACACTATTTGGTTTATTTGATCATCCAATAGTTGAATAACGTACTATTAATTTATTATTTTATATCAAAGTCAGTCCATATGTATCTTATGAGCTCCACAATATTTAGTGTTTTACAAACAGTACTTATGAATAACAAGACGATTCGTAGATATTTAAATTTACCCGCCATGCCACAGATGTTAAAAAAACCAACTGATAAGTCCTTCTTGGAAAATATGAAACAATGGAATACTGATGTACGCAAGAATATAAAGGAACAAAAAAGACCTGAAAGATTGTAAATAATATTCTTAGTCATGGTATGTTAAAAAATTGTTTTTGTGTGAATTCCCATTCTTTAGGTACAAATGTTAATAAATGTATAAAAAATTTTTTAATATTATAGTTATTACGAGGACATTATCATTGAAAATGAGTAAGTTAATTAAAATTTTGAATTATAAATATTTATAGTTTTCTTCCTAATCGCCTCAAGTGTTGCTCTATATCACATTACTCTTAAAGATTGATAATAGAGTGTCAAAATGAGTTTGCGTATATCAAATAATATAAGAACATCCTAGCACCCTTTCACATATCTTTAATTTGCAAAAGATGTGTGAAGGGCGGTAGTTCAAACATGGATCAAATAATGAAACCAAATAACTGTACTAATTCATTTTGCATTGTGCTCTTTTATTATTTAGAAAGTAACCTATTTTGTACTCTGATTATAAAGAAATAAACAAGAATGTTTTATTAACAATGATAATTTTTTCAAATTTATTTGTACAAGAAAATTTTAAATGTTTAATAATTTGTACATTTACAATATTGTTAATTTGTAAAGGATTAAAAGTTTAAGCTGGAATTGGTATTAATATACCATTGTCATCATATTTTGCCTAAACCATTAATAATTACAGTCAACTCTCTCTAAGTGCAACCCCTCTAAGTGCAACTTCTCTCTAAATGCAATTAAATAGTCTGGTCTCATGTTGGGATTTATAACATAAATGCAAGTTCTTTATTCTCTAAGTGCAAGATTTTTTTTAGCCAGTATATACTGTATAAAATTATTTTCTCTAATTGCAAGATGTTTTATTAACCAATTAAATTGACTTATTTAAATAAAGTTTTTTTTTCTAAGTGCAAGATGTTTTTTTTTAATTTATAAACTTGCATTTAGAGAGAATTAATTATATATTAATTTAGTTTTCTTTAAGCGCAACTTCTCTCTAAATGCAAGATATTTTGCTAGCCTGTTGACTTCCACTTAGAGAGAGTTGACTGTATATTAATATTCTTGTTGAGAATGTAGCACAAAATTTTTACCTTGAAAAATGTATAAGATAGGGTGACAGTATCTACGTTTTTCATCAATGAATCATGTTCAATTTCTGGATCAATAAAAAATATCCACTTGTTCTCCAGCTCCTAACATCTGCTCTTCAAAACAAAAACATTGTATTTTATTAAAGTATGGTGCCACCTTGGATGATATTACATTATATGTTGCTATACCAATAATATCATGGTTCGATACATTCTTTGCAGTATAAAATGCCAGCACAGTCTCTCCTGGTAAAACACGCACCTCACGTTGTTGAGGAATAAAAGACCAGTTAAGGGCACGTAAAGTATCTGCATTGAAAGTTATCTTTATTTGACAAGATTTCTTGGGTGGCACAAGGCAATTGGGGTTTATTGTTGAGGTTCCCATCATTGGTGTTCCACTGAAACCTGTTGTTTGACAAAATATTCAATAAAGATGTACTGATGCATATGTAACGCCTATTTCAAACACTAGAATCGCCATGGTATACAACAATAATGACTTATTTTTTCTCGAATATTTTTGGCTGTTTCGTATATAGTTATTAGGCGAAACCATTTTGTAAATGTCGAAAGACGATGCCTAAAGCTAGTGGAAGATGAAAGGTGAAGCCCCTGGCAAAAAGCGAAACCCTGGCAAAAAGCAAAACCCCTGGCAAAAGGTGAAATCCCTGGCAAAAAGTAAAATCCCTGGCGAAAGCAAAGCTTCTGGAAAATGCCACCTTGAAGTTAGATTAAAAAATTAGAGGTGGAACTATTTTAGTATATTATTGTTAAATGTAATAGCTGTTAGACAAGAAACGTGAGAAATATACATTACTACTAAAATATTTTAAATTTACAATTTAAAGCTCCCTCAATGTAATTTGCTAATGATCGAGATGTTGTTCAGTTATTGCATTTAATTGAAGTGATCCTTAATAGTGATTTAATCGAAAATTGAAAAATTGGTCAGCGATAACTAATCGATTTAAACTTTCGAAGCAACTAATCGTTGAATAACGATAAAAAATTTTGTAAATCTATACGTGAAAATTAACCAATCAAATCATAACCCTTTTATATCTACAATACGTATAGTTATTTTGTATGCCCGATCTACCAGATAAATATAATTATTTTGGCGTAAAAGTTAGGAAATAACAATTGATAGTAAGCATTGCTCTTTGAGTTTTCTTGAATTTTTATTAGCGATAAGTTTCCGAATATAAAAAGCAACGCAATATTTTTTTGACGATTATAATTTCGCTAAAGATCCATACGTAAAGCAAAGTGCATGAGCAACCTCTTCTTTTACTATATTAATCAGCAGTTTTGGCCAATCAGCGTTAACTCTCCAGACTTTTTTCAGCGAAGCGGCAACTCACTTGATTAATTTTTTCGGCCCGACTAGTGACTGGACTCGTATAAACTCGTGACTCGAGAATTAAGAAGAGTGCTCGAATCATTCGATTGAATTACTTAGTCGAGTTTTGTTCGAGTAATTCGAATCATGGCAATTAGTTTATTGATAAATTTTATAAATTGCAAGTTACAAAAAAACAAATAATTCAATTTTGTATGTTAAAAGTGTTATAAAACAAATATATCAATTACAAGTTACGAATGCAATAAACTGATTCATAATTATCTCTAGATAGACTAGAACTATCTTTAAATATTCTGTGCTTACGGGCGAGATGGTTAATTTAAAATCGAAGTTCATCATTATACGAGTACCATTTTCTTCCCGTCATCCATTATAATTTCACAAGTGGAAGTTATCCCTCCTTTCGAAAATATTTCCAGGCGAAACAAGTTTTAAAGAATTATGTAAAAGTTACGACATTATTTATGCAACTTACAAATCTATTTAATGCAAAGTATTAGTCATTTAAACTTCATTATACATTAATAATTGACTCGTGAGTACTCGCATAATGTTGTTAGTCGAAATACCCTATTAAGTCAAATATTTAGACAATTTTGTGTCGGAATATATTTCGACATGACATTATCTTTTGTCGAAATGTCAAAAATCTAATTTGACTAAATGCCGACTAAATAAATACTATATGACTAAATATCTAAATTAGTACGTAGTAGAGAGAGCTTGTACATTGAAAGTTAAGTTATAAACATTTAGCATAGTGAGTACTGTGTGAAAAAAAGCACGTATAACATGTGGGAAAATTCTCAAGCTGATATCGTTTAGAAAAATATATACAATATAATTAAACCCGCTTGATAGAGGCACACAACCGTTTTTAGATCAAATTTATTTTAAGTAGCATGAAATCCACAAAATAAGCAAGTTCGGATTTCTATAAGCTCAAAACAATTTCGGCTAACAACATTAGGTCAACCCATGGTATTGACTCATTGTCAGTTAGTGTGAATAGTTTAGAAAGATTCAAATAAAAAAACTCTCGGTCAGGATTGGTGTTACCATAACCACCGCCAATATTATCAATAAGAGCTGAGCCCTTCCGGAAGGAACAAAATTACAAAATTAACGAGAGCAGAAAAGCTTAAAAATAGGGTGAAAATATAAATTAACAAATAATACATATTTATAGAAGAGAAATTCTGCCAAATATCAATTCTTAATGGCAAAAATTCTATATGTACAAAATCTCAGGCATATGGAATTTGTCGACCAAATTATGAATGTGCAACCAAATTCGTTATGTTACAGTGCCCGACAAAAGTTTCCCTGCATCTAGTAGAACAGTAGATACCTTCTAAAAAATAATTAAATTGTCTAATACATTTGGATTAATACACGTAATGCCTGATGAAGCCTTAGGCTCATCATAGATTTCATCAGCTTTCATCAGTTTTGTCAATTTCGTCGGGCATCTACATTAGTCCTTTACGAACAAAATATTTTTTTACAGAGTTTATAATAACTTTAATATCGTATTTTCGCGTAATAACGCCTACCTGTGCGTTATTTTAATACGCGTATATAAGTTATTTTGAAGTAAGGGCTGATCGTTCGAATATAAAAATATAAAAGCATTAATCCAAATATGTGCGGGTTCATTTCGAAAGAATGTTATGTAAAAACAGAAAAATTCTATGATTTTGACAAGATGAACGTTTATTTTGAACTTCTTGATCGTGTTACACCATATCTTGATCTTTGAAATCTGATCTGATTTCAAGCGATACAATTTTCATGGGTATTACAATATTACGCGAGAATACGGCAAGTTATTTACAACATATAATACCGTATTACAAATATTAGACTTCTCAATAAAATCGCCAATATGACTTTATTTTAAAAATGTGAATTTTCATAATTCTAATAAATTTATTGTTTTTATTTAATCTATTTATGAATATAATACTGGTCAAACAATCAATTCAGTCAGTTAAATTAACCGGACAGATAGCGTTCTTACATCTGTTCTAGATATGATTCCTTTAAGTAAAATAGTGTAATCAAAAAAAATGCTATAATTCATGTATTTTCAATTTCTTAATCCTAAAAAACAATGAATAAATAAAGCCAACCTGACTCGTATTAGTATACGGATTTATATCTTCACTCAACAGCTTTTGTGCATCAACCAAGTCATATTCTGATACCGGCGTCATACTTCGGCCATCCGAGCATGTCTCTGGTGATTTTGTTCCGTTATAATTGAGTTGCGGGTGTGTAAGACTTCTTGAAGAATGATTTATGTCTATTAAGTAAGACAATGAATGTTAACATGATAATTCAATTAAGCATCGTCCAATAAGCTTTTTTTTTTTTATCATTGCAGGTAATAATGATTTCGACAGCCTACTTGATTCAAACCATTCATTCTGCAGAGAAATCACATAAAATTGTTGTATAATTAAAAATTGTTGAAACAAGTAAACTTAAAGATGCTGACATTGGAGCATGAAATAAATTCGGAATAGCTGTGGCTAAAGTAGCTACCCAAATTTTATATGGCATAAAAGGGTATCCACCCTTGACCTGAGAAATGTCCGCACCTCCTGTTTAAACCATTATACCAGTATGCAAAATAATGTTAACACCTACTTGAAATTATTGAAAATTGTGGCATATTGTGCCTACGTAATTTGACTCCATAAGATATATTGCTAAATATATACATATATAAATCGACGGCGGCTGATATACATACCCAATTTTGTTATTTCATACCCCCCATAAAATTTAAAATTTTTTCAGACTCTTATCAAAGATATCTAGTAACTTCTTAACCAAATTTAATAATTTTTATTTATTTATTTTGATTCTACAGATATGTAGAATCAAAATAAAAAAAAAATTTCATCGAATTTGGTTAAGTGGTTGCCAAGATATCTTCGCTCAAAGTTTTAAAACATCTACCAAGATAATAGATACAAAAAGGTTCTTGAAACTTAGAGCAAAGATATCTCGATAACCACTTAACCAAATTTAATGAACTTTTTTTTGTTTTAATTCTACAAATCTGTAGAATTAAAGAAAAAAAAAAAGTTTATCAAATTTTGTTATATAGATGCTGAGATATCTTCGCTCAAAGTTTTGAAAATTCAAAACGTATATCAAAATAACGGCAGCGGCAAAATTTTTTTAAAACTTTGAGCTCAGCATCCATCTAACCAAATTCAATAACCTTTTTTTTTTTTTTTGTTTTAATTTTACAAACCTGTAAAATCAAAAGAAAAAACTTCATTGAATTTAATTAGGTGGATGCTGAGATATCTTCGCTCAAAATTTTAAAAAAAATTTGCCGTAGCTGTTATTTTGGGTACTACCATAAAATCTTGAAACCAATTTTCCAGAAGTACATAATACCGACTAAATTAGCCAGCATTATAACTAATGCCGGTTAACTTTGTCGGTATTAGGGAATTTGTCTTCGGGTTTTTGTGGTAAAACCAATTTTGATGAGCATTTTGAATTTTTTCAAAATTTTGAGCAAAGATATCTCAGCATCCAACTAACTAAATTTAATGAACTTTTTTTTTTATTTTATTTTATTTTATTTTTTTTAATTCTACATGTTTGTAGGATTAAAACAAAAAAAAGTTCATTGAATTGGTTAAGTAGTTGTCGAAATATCTTCACTCAAAGTTTCAAGCTTTTTTGTTTGATAAACGTTTTAAATGTTTTGAAACTTTGAGTGAAGATATCTTGGTAACCACTTAACCAAATTCAATTTTTTTTTTTGTCTTGATTCTACATATCTGTAAAATCAAAATAAAAAAAAATTTAAATCTGATCAAGAAGTTACTGAGATATCTTCGCTCAAAATTAACAAATTTGGGAGGGTATGTATATCAGTCGCCAAATCGATACGTGATATTTGGTAATGTTATATAGAACTTACGTATCCTTGTTTTTTTGATCAAGCAACGATTTTGTATATCGCTGTGTGCTCAATAACTCTTGTGGCTGAACGGCCTAAAACAAATTTATCAAAAATTATTATAAAAAAAAAAAAAAAAAATGTAAAATATATATATTTACCGCTTGCCGTAAGTTCGCAATTTCGGCATCATAATGCTCTATTTTAGCTTTAAGATCAACTATCACATTATGTAAAGATTGAATCTCAGTTTCTAATGCGCGTCTTTGAAATCGATCTATATTGAAACATAATAAACTCGGCAATGCTATTTTCAGATTTAATGTTAAAGTTAATTATAAAATACAAATTTAAATTTATGTATTTATGTATGATATTCCAACAACAGTACAAATTTAAAATATCTATATCTGATTTTTCTCCTTGGCAAATAAAACAGGATACGCATATTTTGAAATATAGTATTTAGGAAATTATGTAACGACGCTGTAAATGTCTCTAACCATTGTTTTGTAAAAAATGGTTCAAAATATGGATCTGCTGCCGGGTTTTTTGAAAACGGCAGTCCTTATCAAAAAAAAAATAGAAAGACCAATTAGGATCACCATCGTTTAAATAAAATAAATAGTCTTCTCACATTATCAGAAACATAATAATATAATAATTCTTACTTACCAAACCATTTAGACCACTCCGAATTTCCATTTAAATTCGCTTCAAACGTGTCAAAGAATTCTAGTACTTTTTCTTTACGTCTTTGTTGTGTTGCTAATTATTTCATCATTTAAATTAAAAATATTAAAATAAAATTAGCATCGCCAGAATTCCCTTTCATCACCACTTAGATCAAAGACATACCCCTAACCATTAACACAAGCATAATTCTGCTACCGTATTGTCGCGAAATAACGTAATTTCAAATTTTGGCCTAATTATGTACTATTTATTGCCCGCAACGGCGGGTCATGCGATCATATAGAAACGTAGAATAATCTAAAATAACGCCCATGTGCGTTATTTCGCGTCAATACAGTAATTCAAACGGAATGTTAAAATAATCAATGTATTTTCAAATTACCATATACAAGATAATATCTCAAAAGAGATATTTTAAACTTCTTAACACTTCCAAAATATCTAGCATCTAATCTTGAAAAATATCTTATATTTAAATACTCCCAATAATCAAGTAACCCATTTATATCACTGTTTGTTATGAATGAATATAACTCTTCAATAATTTTTTCAGCCTATTAATTATGTAGTACAATTTAGTAAAACAATATATTCAGTACTAGTCAAAAAAAAAAAACAAATAGACGTGTTACAAATCGTCAAAATTTTTTCAATTGATTAGTTGGTTGCAACTAATCGATTAGCTGTAACTTCGATTAATCGATTAGTTGAACTAATTCATTAAGTAAATAAATAATTTTTCAGTCGATTCTTTGCAACTTAACAATTAATTTTTTAGTCGATTAGTTGCAACTAATCGATTAGTCGATTAACCGATTAGTCGGTATCTAAAAAGCTCAGTCGATTATTTGTCAACTAACCAAATAATCGATTAATTCGATTTCGATTTGTATCACTAGACCTAAGGCTATGCAAATTAAATTACAAGCAAATAGGACCCGGCCGACCGGCAAAAAAATGTTATATTTACAAAATTTTTTCATATAAAAATCTTATAAAATTTTTTTTTTCATACAAGAATAAAAAATTTTATATAGAAAAAATTCAACTTTTTTAAAAAAGTTACCCGGCCGGGTAACGAGAAACAATTTTATTTGTTTGCATCGCCTAAAAGTCAAATGTTATAATAATATTTACTTGAAATCCTTTATCTCTATCATTTCGACATTCTGTTTCAAAAGACCGAAATGTAACTGAAAACCCTCTAAACTATTATTCCATTCGTAAAAAAAGGAATACAAATTTTTAAGTCATTTTCGAAATCCATCATCTCTCTGTAGTCTTTTGGAAACAAACTCAAAGCAAGGAATAACGTACTAGTAAATATTCTTTAATGAGTTCTTCTATTGGCTGAATAGAATTCATTATTCAAGTTTAGTGTGAAGCGAAATTCTTTTAGCATTAAAATAAATGGTCGTAATTATATATTCGATTGACATTCGTATATGTATATATAAGATCAGCAGTCCCGTGACTGATCTTATAGATCAAGGCACGTGCGAAAAATTCCATATGCGTCTGTCGGCGGATTTGTAACAATTGCAGAATGTACAATAGCTGATATTTTGGGATCGGCTTTACAATCACATTGTTAAAATCTATAGACCATAATTTAGGCAATTCCGCAAATTCGCCGATATGATTCGAAGCTCGTGTCTTATTTACAAGGATATACAAGAAGAAACCACTTTTGT